ATTAAACTATTTTCTTAAGCAAACTGGACTTCGGTGGAACAATTTGGTAAAGAGATGTTCAAGTCTCTCTTCAGGAAAAATTTATGCAACACTTCTAAATTTAATATTATTTACTGATTACGTTCTATTGCCAAGCCCTATATTAAGTATAAAGTAACTTCCTTAAATTACTTCGCTATAACATTGATTCATAAAATATATATGACTTACTCATTGGCTACTGTGTGCCAGATATTTGATATTCAGGATTTCAGTCTAGCTCTCCGAGGACCAAAGCCTTTTACCAGTGGTAGGAGTAAAGGAGGGCTGGGGTAAAAATATTACTTGGATATTTAAAGACAACTTAATAAAGATTCACAATGCCCAGGAGAAGACAGGCATAAAAAGACAAATACCAAGTGATCATTTGCACATGAGGTCCAAAAAAAGGGCAAACTCACAGGAATGGGAGAATAGTGGTAACAGAATGTGGGAGAGGCGGAATTTGACCAAGAAAAAAAAAGGTTCAAAATTTAGGTTATATAAGAGGAATACACTTTTCTGCTTCCTTCCTCTTCCCGCTCCTTTCTGCTTCAGGTCTTCCATCTGACATCAGAACACACACTAATGCTGAGTGGTTCTATGGCTGTCTTTAATTTATTCACATCTTAACTGCTCAGAAACATCAGTTTGTGATCAATTTAATTGGTTAGAAAAACAAGCTATGAAAACTAAGTAATTTGGAGGTAGAAAAAAAAAAATCCCACCTTTTTGCTTATCAGCATTAGTCTCAAATCCAGGGATGCTGCTAATTAGCCCTCTTCAAACAAAATAAAACGTGAATGATTTTAATCAACAGTTCTCAAAATTATTTTGCAGAAAACCACAGGAAGAAATGTTTCACTTTGAATCTCAGAACACACACACCTCCTATGTAAAAAAGTTAATTACTCCTTTTAGTAAATGGAGTGTGTTCTCATGTTGTATCCTTTTACAAGCTACAATACTAGTTATTAACTACAAAGTTAATTCATAACTAACAAAGGTTTGTAACTACAAACACAAAATGTAGTACTATATACAAAACTATGCATTTTAAAACTGAGAAAACAAGAAAAAGATATCCAAGAAAATACATGCCAAAATATAGTATAATAAAATTTCAGAGAGGGAAAGAGAGGAAAAAATAGTGAAAGCAAGGTACAAAGAAATGACTCATTGTGTACAAATGAATAATTTGAGTGACAGCAAAATTCACATCATAAGGGTTAACTAACATTTGGTCAGTGGTACATTTTCAGATCTATACATTATTTTTAGTGAAAGAATAAATCTTGAAATTAAGAGCTTGTGGACTAGAGAGAGAGCTCTTCCAAAGGACCTAGGTTCAATTCCCAGCACCCATATGGCAGCTTACAACTGTCTGTAACTCTAGCTCCAGGGAATCCAATACCCTCCCACAGACATGCAAAACACCAATGTATATAAATAAAAAAGTAAAAAAATCAGTAAATTATTTTTTAAAGTTTATTTAAAAAATTAAGACCTTGCAAGATTAAAGATGACCAAAGAAAAATAACCACTAGGGTTACCTTATAAAAGGAATTTAAATGTAATTGAAAAATAAAGCTTGCCTGAAGATCAGAAGGTGGAGCTAGCCACTAGTTAACCACAGAGGCCAGGCAGTAGTGGCATACACCTTTAGGAGGTAGAAGCAGGAAGATCAGGAGTTCAAAGCCACATTGGGCTACATGAAATTTAACCAGTCTAATAGAGAAGCAGAGCTCACAGTTTTAATCCCAGCACTAGGCAGGTAGAGACAGGAAAAGAGATGGCTGGCTGCAGAGAGGAATATAAAAACTGAAGAGTTTGTAAGTATATGTGTATATGTACTGTGTATATACATACATAGATTAAATATGGGCTAACAAGGGCTGGAGAGATGGCTCAGAGGTTAAGAGCACTGACTGCTCTTCTAGAGGTCCTGAGTTCAATTCCCAGCAACCACATGATGGCTCACAACCATCCCTTATGAGATCTGGTGCCCTCTTCTGGTGTGCAGATATACATGGAAGCAGAATGTTGTATATATAATAAATAAATAAATCTTAAAAAATATATATATGGGCTAACAATGTTCCCCTCTAGAGCCATAGACTAACAAAAACTCCAACACCAGGAATGAGAAACCCTCTTTTGAGTTATTGTCCAAGAGGATCCCAAAATATAGGCTAATTGCTGTTGCCCTTCTTTGGACACAAGATCCAGAGAATGTGAATTGTATTTGACCTGAAAGCTTCCTTCCTGAGGACTATGCAAGCTTCCATAGAAGGGAAGCAACCAATAGTCCTACCCAGCTATGGTGCCCATGAACCACAACAATGGCCAGCATAGCATCATTAACCTTAAGGGTGTAGTAGTGGCATACATTACCTTGGCGGTAATCAACAGCTCTCTAACTGGTCTTAAAGCCTACTAGACAAGAAACTCATTCGTGATACTGGAAACCCAACCAACTACCTAGGGCCAAGGAAGTCATGGATCTTGGAGGAGAACTTGAACCACCATTTTACTAAATCAGCATACTCCTTAACTAAATATTTGTTCTTATACAACCCCAGGTAAGTGTAGTCCTCACTCCTCATCAAAGAAACTTCTCTTTGCAGCAAATGGAAACCATTACAGAAAACCACAACTGAACAAAATGCAGAGTTATGGAGCACAACATTGTGGAATAGGGGCTAAAAGAGTGGAAGAGCCAGAGGAACAGAAAGTTTGCTGTGAGACTATGTCTCCTACAAATGTCAGAGAAACTGAATCTATGAAATCGCACCAACATGGCTGCCAAAACATGACTGAACAAGAATGGTATCAATAGACATGCTAATGTCTATTAGCTGAAGAGGCCTCAGCCCTACACAAAGAACTACAGACAACTTAGGAATACTGAGAATAGGGCAAATAGTCTTCCTCAGGAAAGAGCACACTAATTGGTTATCAAATGCCAAATGGCCAGCTCTGAAAAGATACATACAAGTAACATTATATGAACTGAGCAAATTGTATTTATATATTGGGAATACACACACACACTCTAAAAAGATGCCATGAATCTGAAAGGAATGGAGGGGTACATCAGAAGGGTGGAAGGGGTCAAAGGGAGGTGAGAAGGAAACTATAACTGTACTATATTCTCAAAAATAATTATAAAAATAAATTATTGGAAATAAGATATCAAAGCCAGGCAGTGGTGTCACTTGCCTTTAATCCCAGTACAAGGGAGGCAGAGACCGGCCTGGTCTACAAAGCTACACAGAGAAACCCTGTCTCAAAAAGAAAAAAAAAAGATATCAAGTATATTATAAAAGAGAAAATATAACATCTTTCATCTCCTGAATTTTAGAAATATGACTGAAGTGATAAATGAAACATTTGTCATTCTGTCACATGTTCTTTGCTGTTTATAAAGGCAATATTAAAGATTTACATAATGGCAAGAAAAGAATCAAAGAAAAAAGGAAAAGGACCAAATGTAAAATGACAGATCCAAACCATAACATTATCAATTTTACATTAAAAACAAAGGTCCAAGTATAAGAATTAAGACAGTTTGGCAGATAGGTGGTCTCCAGTTATGTGTCACCTGCTTTCCCTCTTACCCTTTTACAGTGTATTTAATAAATTATTCATTTTTTAAAAAATAACAAATTGAATTTTAAAACTATGCGGCACTATAGTAATCTCCCCTAACACCAAGAGACACATTCCAACACAACTAGTAGGTGCCTAAACCACAGACAGTACCAAATCCTCCATGTTTTCTTCTGATATATGACAATATAAAGCTTAACGTCCTTTCCATTTTAACTAGGTACTTATTATGTAACTAGGACTATGACTCTTACAATCTGAAGTGTTACAGTAAAACCAGTCCAAATTTCTTTTTACCTTATTCACAAACTTATGAATATGTGATTCATTCTTATCATAGATCACACCATCCTTAAAATATGATTTTTTGTTCTCTTCATTAAAAAAAAAAAAGAACCTTCGTTTTTCATGTATAGGAAAATTTTACAGCATCACTTTCAGTAATATCCAAATTTCAAACATCATCACTCTTAAACCATTACTCAGTAAAAATTGCATAAACAAAAGCACTGTAATATTGTGACAGAGGATCAGAAAACTGAGGTAGTAGTGACTAGTGTGCAGTTCTCAACCTGTGGGTCACTGCCTCTCTGACAAACCTCTATCTCCAAAAATATTTCCATTACAATTCACAACAGTAGCAAAATTATAGTTTGAAGTAGCAGTGAAATAATTTTATGGTTG